CCCCCATCGAGGCCATCGCCCTGGGGAGGGGCTGAATGGGAACCTCATGGCTGTGCTGCCAGAAATAGCAAAGCCTTTGGGAAAGGCAGCTCCCCCGCGGGCTGGGAAAGCGGAAACGACATCTCAGCTGTGTCCGAGCTGTGTTTGCAGCCAACTTCTTCCTAGCCTTGAGTGCTTCCCTGTGATGGGGTAGCACCGGGCGCTGGATACTCATCTTCCCTGGCTGATGGTGAACCCCCACCCTCCATATCCCCAGCCCCAGGAAACTAATGACTGGCAGCAAATGCTGATGCCAATTGCAGTGCCAATACCAATGCCAATTCCAGCCACTCCCTGCCCATCTGCTTGGCACAGGCCAACCCAGCCAGCCATCAGCCACAGCTTTCCAGCACACCTGGGCACATACAAGCCTGTGCCAGGTCCCAGCTGGCACCACAGACTGGGAATCTTGGCATCTGGTGCCTGAGTGGGCTCCTCCGTGTCAGCTCAGCTTGCTCTGTCCTCTGATAAGCTTCAAAGAGCCCTGATGTGGGTCATGCCATGCTGAAACACAGAGGGCTGTGCCTGGGAGCTGTGTCCAGAGCCGCCAGGCTCAGCTGGGGCACTGAAACAAGGTCCCTGGATGATCTGCTGCATCCCCACTTCCCTCCACAGCTGGAGAGCTACATCCAGTCTGGCATAAAGCCAGAGATGGCAGAGTTGCAGCAGACAGTGGTGCAGAACCAGACTGCCACCATGCTGGAGATTGGCAGCTCCCTCCTCAACCGGAGCGCCGAGCAGAGCCGCAAGCTCACTGACGTGGAGGCCCAGGTATGGCACATGTGTCCCCATGTCCCCGAGACCACAGAGGGTGACCTGGCTGCTCTGCTGGTAAAAGTAGAGTGATTTCCTGAGGTGACTCAGAGTTTAATGCACTGGTGATAGAGGTACCAGGGCTGTGTGCCCACCAGCCTGGTGACACCAGGGATGTGGTGTGGTTCTGGCTGCTGATGGCAATGCGCTCCTCTGCTCCCGAGGCAGGTGTTGAACCAGACATGGCGCATTGAGATGCAGCTCCAAGAGAATTCCCTGTCTACCACCAAGCTGGAGAAGCAGCTGCTGCTGCAGACCAACGAGATCCACAAGCTGCAGAACAGGAACAAGTAGGGGCTGGGGTGGCTCAGGGACTCTCACAGACCCTGGACCCCACAGGGAGGCTGGTCCCTCCCACTTCACACTGCACTTTGGAGGGGCTTTAATCTCTCCAGGTGACAGCTGGGATCCCTGGGGCCTCTGGGCTTTGGGTTTCCCTGGCTGGGTACGTCCCAGAGGTGGGAGTGCAATTTGGTGGGTGCAGCAGGGGATGGGGACAGCAATGGGTGCCTGCAGACATGCTGGGACACTGCAGCTGGGGCTGGGCCCACTCTGCCGCCCCCATCACCGCTGCCTCCCCCTCCCAGCATCCTGGAGGTGCGGGTGCTGGAGATGGAGACAAAACAGCAGGAGGAGCTGGCAGGGGCTCGCTCAGAGAAGGAGAAGCTGCAGCGGCTGCTGAGCCGGCAGAGGGGCACCATCGAGGAGATGGAAAAGACACTGCTGGCTGCCAGCGCCAACACCAGCCTGCTCCAACGCCAGCAGCTCCAGCTCCTCCAGTCCGTGCAGAGCCTGGTGCACCTCGTCTCCCAGGGCAGAGGTGAGAGGGTGTGGGACACAGTACAGGCAGTGGGAGAGCTCCTTGTCTGCTCTAGAGGTTTCCAGGGTACTCCTGTGCTCAGCTCAGTATGAGTGACCATCCCAAAATTCATTGAATCACAGAAAGGTTTGGGTTGGAAGGGACCTTAAAGACTATCCTGTTCCTACTCCCCTGCCATGGGGGGATAGATTTTTCACTAGAAAATGAGCCCCTCCTTGCATTCATGGAGCAGCTTGGAGCCCCCAGGGGAGGGTCCATAGCCCAACATCATTCCCAGACATGGCAAAGCCCCGGGGTTAGGCTGGCAGCAGTCCTGGTGTCATGGTCACCTCACCCAGCCCTCAGGAGACAGTGCAGAAGGAAGAAAAATAATCCATAGACACAAAAGCATCTAAGGGAGAGGGAAGAGTAACAAAACCAGGCAGGGCTGCAGGGCTGGCAGGGTTTCTGCCATCTCACTGTTCTCTCTGCCACAGCCACTTTACCTGGGCAGGAGCAGCAATTCCAGGACTGTGCCGAGGTGCACCAGGCAGGCATCCGCACCAGTGGTGTCTACACCCTGCACATTGCCAACCTCAGTGAGCCCAAAAAGGTAAGCACAGCCCAGAGGGGGTTCTCCACCTGTACCCCGGGGTGCTACCCACCCCAGTGTACACCAGCTCTGGACCACAGTGGATATCCCTGTTGCATGGCACATCCCAGAGCAGTTCTTCCCACCCCATCTGACCTTGGGAGCTCCTCAGGGGCAAAGGCAGTACCCACTGGGTGAAGGCAGGGCTGGCACAGTCTTCCAGAAGATGGAGGGATAAAACTGATTTTAAAGGCACCCTGTGAGCACTGTGCCCCAGCCCCTACCCATGGCCACAGGGGGAGGAGAGACCCCTGAGCCAGGCAATTGGCACAACACATGGTCACCAACCCCTCAGCAAGCCCTAGCAGCCATGCAGCACCCACACTGAGCTGCCCAGCCTGGTGATGCACCTGGACACCCACTCCAGGCCACCTGCAGCTCATCCCCCTCTCTTTCTGCAGGCATACTGCGACATGGAGACAGATCAAGGGGGCTGGACTATCATCCAGCTCCGTGCCAATGGCAGCCTCAGCTTCCAGAGGGGCTGGAGGGAGTACAAGCAGGTCCGTGCCCGTGTGGGGAGGGGAGCACCCTGGAGCCACCCTGGGCACCATATGCTCATCTGCCCTGATGCTCCCCAGGGTTTCGGGGATGCAGCAGGGGAGTACTGGCTGGGGAATGAGGGTGGGGAAAAAAAGACAAGCCAGATGCCCTACACTCTGCGAGTCGAGCTGCAGGACTGGGAGGGCAGCCAGGTGTATGCCCACTATGGGAAATTCCAGCTGGGGAGTGAACGGCAGCTTTACAGGTAGGAGAGAGGCACCTTTGGGTTGGCTACCCAGCACTCCCCATCTCCAACTGTCCCCAAGCCTGCTGGGCTGGAGGTTGGGCCCAAACCCCAGAGATACCCTGCACCATCCATCCCATGCATGCATGGAGCTGACGCCCAGAAAAGAGGACTGGAGGAGACCTAGGGGGAGGTCCTCTTCGCGCCAGCAGAGCACAACCTCCACCCTTGGGAACCCTCAAGCTGGAGCTGCAGGATCTCTGCCTGCATCCCTTGTGCTGTGCTCAGCTCCTGGCATTTCATGGTCCCCCTAAGCAAGGCTGGGGGGCTCTGTGACCCCGTGGCAGCTGGCAGTGACAGTGGCTGTGG